CCTGGGCAGGTTGGGACTATTGGGCTCCTGTCGGCCATCAATGGGCGATTGGCTTGGACGCCCAAATGGATGCGGAAAAAAGTGGAACGATGCCTGACAACAAGTGTCGTCCAAAACCGACAGCGGCCGCCTTTGGGCAGGCGGTCTTCTGTCTCAAATGGACAACGTCCGCGGCGACACCGACAGCGAGTCCTGCTCAACATGAATCCATTCCGATCGTCGCGAAGTGGGGGTCGATGTGCATCCCCCCCTGGGCGCCGGCGCGCCCGGGGGGGGGAAGCTAGAGGCGGCGGGCCTGCTCAGAAGGCTTGGAAGCTCTCCCCAGCGATGCAGAAAACCTCGCAGAAGGCCCGAGGCCTTCCGAGAAGCCCCGCCCCGCCGCCGTCTGAGAACGCTCTCCTTCTCGCGTCCCCCCCTAGCTCGCCGCCGACCTATGCCTACCCCCCCCCCTATCACTGCCCCCGGGGGGCGAGAAGGGAGGTCGCCGGTTTTTCTAGCGTCGCGCACGAGGAGGAGCAGCGTGAGGGGGGCGGCCTTCGAAGCAAGAGGCGAGGGGGTGCCTCAGGGAAAGCAGGGGGCTTTTCTGGAAGGCCTCAAGGCTTCGAAAGAGCCTCCTCTACTCAACGAAAATACGAGTACATATAATATACATATATACGTATATAAGAGATGTGTAAATGTTACCACCAATCTGCATGGCCGTGACTGGGCTCTTTCATCATGGCGCGCTCGAGTAAGGTCGTCCGCAAATGGCACCTCCACCTGCCGACCGCGCCTGTCGCTACTCTGCGCCGACGATTCACATATGTATATATACAAGTATGTGTATGTGCAAGTTCCACTCCGCCGGAGTAGTCCCTCTGCCCAGCCGCCGACACAAAAAGCTGTGTGCGCGTGTGTGTGGTGTGTGTCTGTGTCTGTGTCTGTGACTGTGACTGTGTCTTTATCTGTGTCTGTGAATGTGTCTGTGCGAGTGTCTGTGCCTGTATATGTGTCTGCCTGTGTCTATGTCTGTCTGTGTCTGTGTCTGTGTCTGTGTCAGTTTCTGTGTCTGTGTCTGTGTCTGTGTCAGTGTATGTGTGTGAATGTGTATCCGCCACCGTGCCGCTGGGCACGGTGTGGGCGTGTCCTCAAGTACTTTGCCTAATCCCTGGAGCCTCAACCCTCAGTCCTGAGAGGTCCATAATGGAACCATACCCCAATGACCAAAATTTGGCGGGGCTGCCCGCGGTTCCGCTGGGATCCCCCGCAGCTTGTCGCATTACTTCTTCGGGCCCAAGAAGCCCCAAGACGGGCCAAGAGGGCCCCAAGAGACCCCCAAGAAGACGGTCCAAGCGGGCCCCGAGTCGCCGAAAGATCGTTCCAAGACGCTAAAGATGGCCTCAAGATGGCCCAAGAGTCCTCCAAGACGCCCCAAGTGGCCTCCAATAGGCCTTCCAAAGTGCACCCAAGAGGCAAAAATTCGTGATTGTCCGCTAGTTGTTGAAGGAGGTTGGCGTTCTCGCCTTTTCGGCTTTCCGACGCTTCCAGAAGGCCCAGGAGGCCCACGAGACCACCCCGAAACAGATAAACAGGCCCCAAGAGGGCCCCAAGGACACCCAAGAGGGCCCCGAAACGGCCCAAGAGGTGCCCAAGACGGCCCCAAGAGGGGCCCCAACAGGGCCCAAGAGAGGAATCACGAACCAAAAAATCTAACTTTCCGCTCCTAAGAAGGCCCAAGTGGCGCCCAGGAGGCACCAGGATGCCTGCCCCAGCAGGCCCTCAAGAGGCCACCAAGAGGCCCCCAAGCGGTCCAAAAGAGGCCCCGAGGTGCTCCAAAACCAAGACTTGCTCCAAGAGGCCCCCGAGAGGCTCCCTACGAGATCCCAGCGAACATCCAACAGGCTTCATTCCCACAACCCAAATACGCTGGCGGGATGGGCCAAAGGCCATTCGGTCCGCCGCCTCCTGTGGTCTTGCCACAATGGTGCCCAGCGTGCTGAACCCTATACGGTTTGGTGTTTGGTTTGTTCCAAAAGAACTCCCCCTGGGGCTTCGGCCTGTCCCGCCGGCCACCCGCAGGAAGGGACTGGAAACAACCTCAACGTGCCTAAAGTGTTCTCCAAGACGGCTCAAGATGGCCTCCAAGACGGCAAAAAGACACAAGAGATGGCCTCCAAGTGCGCCCAAGATGGTCCAAGATGGCCTCCAGGACGGCCCAAGAGGGTCCAAGATGCCTCCAAGTTAGCCCAAGAAGCTTCCAAGACGGTCCAAGATGGCCTGAAGATGACCCAGGACGGTACTGCCCTCAAGAGACCTCCAAGACGGCCCAAGAGGCCTCCAAGATGGCCTCCAGGAAGGCCCGAAGAGGCCAAAAGCATTGATTTGCCTTAGGCGTTTGAAGGACTTCGACATTTGCGTCTTTCGTGCCTTCCGACGGCCCGAGACGGCCCCAGAACCCAACGATCGCCCAAAGATCGCCCAAGAAGCCTCCAAGATGGCCTCAGAACGGCCCACGAGGCCCCAAAAGACTGCCCCAATGCCCCAAGGCGGCAGAAAGACACAAGAGATGGCCTCCAAGTGCGCCCAAGATGGTCCAAGATGGCCTCCAGGACGGCCCAAGGGGGTCCAAGATGCCTCCAAGTTAGCCCACGAAGCTTCCAAGACGGTCCAAGATGGCCTGAAGATGGCCCAGGACGGTACAAGGTGCCCTCAAGAGACCTCCAAGACGACCCAAGAGGCCTCCAAGATGGCCTCCAGGAAGGCCCGAAGAGGCCAAAAGCATTGATTTGCCTTAGGTGTTTGAAGGATTTGGACATGTGCATATGTCGTGCCTTCCGACGGCCCGAGACGGCCCCAGAACCCAACGATCGCCCAAAGATGGCCCAAGAAGCCTCCAAGATGGCCTCAGAACGGCCCAAGAGGCCCCCAAGACGGCCCCAAGGCCCCAAGACGGCCGAGAGGCCTCCAGGACGCCCAAGATGGCCTCCAAGACGGCTCTGGAGCACCCCAAGAGGGCCCCAAATTCGGCCTAGCGAGGCCCCCAGGACGGCTTCAGACGGCGTCAGACTGGCCATGAGGCTAGCAAGACGGCCCAAGAAGGCCCAAACGCCCAAAGAGGCCCCCAAGGTCCTCAAGGCGGCCTCCAGGAAGGCCCCAGGAGGCGAAACTAATTGATTTCCGTTAATTGTTCGAAGGTTTTTACCATGTGAGGTGTTCCGCCTTCCCACGGCCCGAGACGGCCTAAGAGCCCCCCAAGATCGACCCAAGATCGCCCAATAAGCATCCAAGATGGCCCCAAGTCGGCCTCCAAGACGGCCCTGGAGCACCCCGAGAGGGCCCCAAGTCGGCCGAGAGGCCCCCAAGACGGCTTCTGACGGCGTCAGGCGGGCCAGGAGGCCATCAAGACTGCCCACGATTGCTCCAAGATGGCCCAAGATGGCCCAAAGGCCCCCTTAAGACGTCTCCAAGACGACCCAAGAGGCCCCCAAGAGGGCCTCCACGAAGGCCCGAAGAGGCCAACAACATTGGTCTGCATTGGGTGTTTGAAGGATGTTGGCATTTGTTTTTGTTCGATCTTCCGACGGCATGAGGCGGCCGCAGAGCTCCGACGATCGTCCCAAGATCGCCCGAGAAGCATCCAAAGTGTCCCCAGAACGGCCCAAGAGGCCCCCAAGATGGCCCCAAGAGGGCTCCAAGACGGCCGAGAGGCCTCCAAGAAGCCCAGGGTGGCCTCCAAGGCGGCCCTGGAGCACCCCAAGAGGGCCCCGAGTCGGCCCAGAGAGGCCCCCAAGACGGCTTCCGACGACGTCCGACGGGCCAGGAGTGCCCCCGATAAGACCCCAAAAGCTCCCAAGAGGCCCAAGGAGGCCACCAAGATCCCTCCAAGAGGCTCCCAGGAAGCTCCCAGGAGGACCCAAGAGTGCCCCTAAAGGCTCTCGAGATGCCCCCGCTCGTCCTCCTCCTCCTCCTCCTCCTCCTCCTCCTCCTCCTCCTCCTCCTCCTCCTCCTCTTCCGTCTCCTCCTCCTCCTGATTTCCCCAGCCATTCTCCCAAAAGTGTTCCCCGAAGGATTTCCACAACGTCTGGGGGAGCAGATGGTCCGATAGCTTGGCAGAGCTCATGCCACAACGCCCGGCTACATGTGCCATCCCAGAAGGCAGGGGTCGCGGTGATTCGCCGTCGGCGTCTTCGATACACATACACCCTCCGACGAATTTAGCATGTCCCTTCAGGAGGGCGGAGCTGTGCAAAGCAGCTGGCTCCCAGTGGTGACTTTTGCACCGCCACCCTCCCCTGAAGCCCAACCCATTGAAGGGTGTCTGTGTGTATGTTGCGGGCAATGGTTCTATCCATATCCACTGCGTCTTGGACTTTCTTGGAAGGGGCGCCACAAGGCCGAGGCGCACTGGATATGGATAAACATCGAGCCTTTTGGAGGCAGATTATAATCCATATCCAGTGCGCCTCATGTTTCTTGGGAAGAGAGTCCGAAACTCCAAGACGCACTGGATGTGGATATAGACATTGCCCGCACATGTTTGTCGAGGATTCTTAGAATCCCGCTGGGTCCCTCCAAGAAGGCCGCCGCCTCCGAAGCAGGCCCACGCCTCTTCCGAGGGCCTGGAACCTTCGCACGCCCTCCTGGCGCGCGCCCTTGGCATGTAGCCCGCCACGAAAGATCGCCGCACCTGCCCAAACGCCTCCCCAAAACAAGAAGGGGGTTAGGGAGGTCCCTTGCCCCCACTCCGGCCTCCGACATTGCAAAACAAGCTGCAACATCGCAAAGAATCACGACCCGAGCACTGGACCCCATGTTTCTGCATCACTTTCTGAGCTGGATCGATATGTGATGATCCCGGGGCCCGACACCGGGCGAGAACGGAGAACGCCCCTTGTGAGAAAACTGCCCCGCTAGGCAATCAGTGGAGGAGGGCGGATGACAACCCCCCTGCCGCAGGCTGGCGAGCGCTGCCGGGCTGGGTGAGCAAGTCTTGCCCTCAGAAGGCTACGGTCGCAGCATCAGCAGCTCGCCGCGCCGCCCGGAGCCGCCAGCGCGGCCTGCAGCTGCGCGTTGTGCGCCTGGCGCCAGGCGGAGCCGCGAGGAGCAGGAGGCGATTGAGGACGGACGACGCCGACGACAGCAACGGCGACCACCACAAGAGGAAGAACATTCGACATCAGCATAATCTGTCAGAGCTCCGCGCGGATGTTGTTGCGCGCTGGACCCCACTGGCGGCGCCTCTGGCGCCGCTCCTGGGTCTGTCCGCGCGCCAGGGAGGGAGGCAAACGCCAATCCAAGAAATACGCGCGGAACTCCGCAAGAGTATAGTTATGTTGTTTTTCTTTCTTCGAACAATACAGTCGAGGCGTTGACCTAAGGAACCCTAAATAAAGAACGAGGCCCCTTTTTTCCCATAAGTTAAACTTCGATTTCCCATGGAAAACCCAACGCAAGCTGTAAAACAATCAAGGAACACCGAGCTCCTCGCCAACGAGAAGGGTTCCTTCTTCAGCGCCCCGAACAGTCTCACTTTGCACAGGGATGCCACAGGGTGCTCGCGGAGCCTGCCTGACAACAGCTCCACCAAACACAAGAATGTGTGCAGCGCCGGCGCAGCCAAGCCTGCATCAAAGGATGAGGAACGAGCCAGAATGAACCTTATCAACCGATCGGATCCCGCGTCGACATTGTGGGTTCTTCCGACCGTGTCCCCCGTTTGGCCTTCATGTCCGCCCCTCCCCTTTCCCAGAATTACGACAGACCGACCGACCGCGCTACACCCGTGGTAACCCCAGCAGGGCTCAAGTGCGGCGCCAGCCTCATTCTCCTTCTCCTCCTCCGCCTCTTCCTTCTCCTCCTCCGCCTCCTCCTCCGCCTCCTCCTCGGGAATCCTCCACCTCTTCCTGGTCCTCCCTCCTCCTCCTCCTCCTCCTCCTCCTCCTCCTCCTCCTCCTCCTCCTCAACCACCCATTTGTTCCTTGAAAAAATACCGCATCTCTGCCGCACCCCCAGACGCGTCGGCAGGGGGGCCCGGGCGTTTCGCCCGAGACTCCCTCACCATCTGCGATCCCGCAGCGTGACAGTCTGCACCAGCGTCGCGGATGGAGGGCAGGCCGTCTGCAAAAGGTGGCTCTCGCTGGAGCGCCGCGCACATGCACCTGGAAGAGCTGCAGCAGTTCCTGGCCATCGCTCGGACGCCCTTTCCCGATGGTGTCCCAGGAATGGTGCTCTGCCACGGTTTAGGATTATCAGGGCGCAACAGCCACGTCGCCTCGCGACGCTGAAGTCCCAGCAATGGTGCTTTGGCACGATGAAAAGATTATCAAAACGTTTGTCTTCCCATGGGGCATTTCCCACGATGAAGAGAAAATTCTTGCGGAGCCCTACGAGGATGGAACTCGGAGGGCGGGTGTACTGCAACATCACTACTGCGTATTAGGTTACACTGGTCCTCCTCCTTCTTCTCCTTCTCCTCCCACCACCCTCATCTCTCATCCTCCTACGACTGCTACTCATCATCATCCAGAGAGAACAGAAGACCCCCGCCTTCGAGCTCACACGCCTCCAATTATTTGCAAACTTGCCTATGCCTTGGAGCGGCTCGGAAGAAAATGCATGGTCGGCAATTGCCACTCACTGTCACATATGCACATCATCATCATCATCATCATCATCATCATCATCATCATCATCATCATCATCATCATCATCATCATCATCATCATCATCATCGTCATCGTCATCGTCATCGTCATCGTCATCGTCGTCATCGTTGTTACCAATGATCAACGTTATCAGTATTATGACCCTTGTCAGCAGCATCGGTACCATCATAATCATCGTCATCGATACCAGAATCGCCCGCCCCATCAAGAAACTCCGTGTCATCATCATCATCATCATCATCATCGCCAACACCACCAACACCATCTTCGTCATCATCATCATCATCATCATCATCATCATCATCATCATCATCATCATCATCATCATCATCATCATCATCATCATAAACGATATCAGCATCACCAATATCACCATCCTTATCTAATCATCATCGGGGTCGTTATATCAGCATCAATCCCATCAGCAATGTCATGAACATCATCTCTGTCGTCGAAATCCTCGTTATCACAATCCTTATCAGCATCGTCAGCCTTATCATCAGCATCGGCATCGATATCACCATCATCATCATTCTCGGCATCACCGGCGTCGACATCATCAAAATCCGCATAACCAGCATCCTGCTACGAATCGCCATCGTCATTAAACAACAGTTTGAGCATTATGTTCATCATCAGCAGCAACAGCGTCATCGTCATCAACACTATCATCATCAGCATCATCAGCATCATCATCATCAGCAACGTCACCATCGTAATCACCATCGTCGTCATCATCGTCATCACCAGCAACAGCAGAATTCGCATCAGTATCATCATCGATGCCAGCATGCTCATCATCATCATCATCATCATCATCATCATCATCATCATCATCATCATCATCATCATC